AAACTGCGGTGACACCGCTGCTAACAGCAGCAACCGCAAGAATAGCAGTAGTCGTAACAGCAGTAATAGTGAATGTAGCAGTAGGTGAAATAATAAGACCAGTAGTTAAGTTGGAGGCGATAGTACTGACAGGAGAATTAGTAGTAATGACTGCAGGAGAAGTAAGAGCCACATTTTAAGTGGTAATGGCAGTAGCGTTCGCAGTTTTGGCAAAGACAGCTTAAATTCGTGATAGTAGCAAACACATTTTCAGCACTCGTGGCCTTAGGAGCAGTGCTAATGGCTTTGTTAGTTGAAGTAGTAGTGCGGTTATTAGAAACAGCAGTAAAATCAGTAGTAACATAGGCGGTTCAGGGACAAACCTAACTACAAATGCTAAGACCAAGCAGGTTTTGGTCAAAACTAGTAGGGTTCGCGTCGTACTAAGGAAAGAGGGGAGGGAGGGAGGCGACGGCCGAACAGAATAATGCGGTGGCACCACTGCCAACCGCAGCAACCGAAAGAATATCAGTCGTAGTAGTTGTAGCAGCGGTAACAGTGAAAGTAGTAATGGGACTATTCGAAATAGCAGTAGATGCGTAGTAAAACTTGTAGGTAAATTGAAGATGATAGTACTGACGGGAGAATTAGTAGTATTAATAACTGCAGCAGAAGTACGAGCCGTGGTAGTGGCAGCAGTAGCTTAGACAGAAGTAGGACTGACAGTGGCGGTGTTGCTAAACCCTACCTCCACCCCACAAGAGCGACAGTTTTCTGCTAAAAAATCCTTAGGAGTTGTTTTCACTGGCTGCTCATTTAAAAAAACTATGTACCACCTCATGGCTCAAGACAATTGGCCTCGCCAACAAACTAAGATACAGTTTTTTCTGCTACCAGGACACACATGTACAAATAGGGAACTCAAAGGCAATCTACCTACATATCGCTCAAATAAACTGATAATGGATACACATTGAGCACTTGTAGACTTACCAACGGTCTTACTAAATTAATTTGTGAAAGTAGTAGTGGGGCTATTAGAAACAGCAGTAAAATAAGTTGTACCAGGGGGCGGTAGCTAAAAAAAGTATCAGCAGCGAGTACTCACCACCGTTCTGCACCTACCATGCGTACAAGAATCATGCAGATGAGGGACCGGCTGGACGCAGGTGGGCAATGGAGCGCAGATGATCGAATCCCATGCCGTGACTACTCTTACCATTATGCAAGCTAGACAGAATGACGAATCAGTTTGCGAATACTGGAGCAGACGGCTGGAGAGACGACCCATTGTTTCAAGTCGCTACGCACACACCAGGGGGAGGTCCTAAGTTCGACTTCGTGACAATGCGGATATTGACATGAGCCGACAAGAAAGGGGAAAATTGCTCAGGGCATCGGCAGCTGAGATGAACTCCACCTATCTCTTTATTATTACGCGTTCCGTCCACACACAGCAAGGTGGCGCAGCCAACTTCCTGGTGAAGGCCGCACGTCGTCACCACATTGTGAGACTCCACCGAGCTGGGCTACGAGACACACCCCACCGAGTTAGGCAGCGAGAACTCGTCTCAGTCACGGACACGACCCGCCCTCCCCCATCTCTTCTCTTATTGTTCGAAGACAAAAGTGCTCACTTATTGTTTTACACACAGTCTTTGACTTATAGACCTGTACTAGTGATCGCGCCTTCGCCTTCTCTGCATAAATATTACTATTTAGAGTATAAGTAGTGTTAAATGTTGAAGCAGTATTAGTAGTAGTAGTAGCAAGAATCGAAGTAGTAGCGGTGGTGGCACCGGCCGCAGTAGAAAGAGTAGTTATTAGGAAAGTTTGGCAGATTTGAATAATTCAGTTGACCCAAAAGTGAAAAAACTCGCAGCTTTTGCGGGAGCCGAACCCGGACAGCAGGGAAGACTTTTACGCAGCCAACGCCCTACCCTTGAGCTACGCGGCCTACCATGAGCCGTGAATTTGATAGCACTCGGGTCGATTTACCCGTCCAACCTACTGCTAGCATGGAATCCACTATTACGGATACAGTAGGCTGACTGTCCATCTAGAATCCACCAGAATGACTACTGGGCTCACTTAGTAGTATTTGTGGTGGTTAAAGTTGTAGCAGTGACAGTTAAAGCAGCAATAATAGCAGGATCAATGGCTAAATTAGCAGCACTGGTTGTAGTAGCGAGAGTATTAGTAGTAGTAGAAACGGTGTTTGTGGTAATATTACCACTGACAGAAGCGGAGATGCAGGTTCCAAGGAGCAGTTCAGAAGATAAGGTCACGGGAACAAGAAAGTCCTGTTCTTGCCGAAAATAAAGCTCTAGTAGTTTGATCACATGAGTCACAAACTGACCGAGCCAAGGTTTTCCGACCCTCAGCAAATCAACAAGCGCAACGAATTCCCCAGACAGAGAGAAAGAGAGCGCGGAATTTAACAGCAAATGCAGACAAAAATAACCGAAGCTAGTTGACTGGGCTTGATGGGAGATTTTTGTCTAGTCATTTAGTCCCTTTAAAAGAGATGATTAAAATGCCCGCATTGGGAAATTATGACAAAAGTTCGGCACATCATGGAAGCATTTAGCCCTAAAGCTGTGAATCAGGAAGATGTTATTTAACTTTAAAGCGCATACCACAGAGACCACCGAAGATACATCTTTGAATAAGTGCTATTAGAATTACGTCCGACGATGCACCTTGGCTGTAGCAAGGCATTGAAGCTTACCATTTTGTCTCGGGCTCCGGGTCTACCGTTGAGAAGTCAAGTACTTGTACTTGTTACGGCTGCGATCGTGACTGACCTAGCCGGGAAGGCGGGTTACCTGTAAGCCTAGCTGCTGGCTACCCGGCGCGTCTACAGGTGGCGGATAGTTGAACGACA